CTTTGTGAAACGGGACCCAGGAGCACAAGAGGAGTTACATTTTGATTACCCATGGAGGACATGATATCATTGGGGACTAAGGGTGAAACGATACAACGATGTTGCGATGTACCATCATACCTAACCCACGATATGATACTGAATACACATTAGATGTTTTGCATATACAGTGAATTTAGCTAGTCAACGTGCAATGCAGATACCTCAGATGGCTAGAATGTTACTTTTAGGGAGAATGAGGAGGGTCGTTTCATTCTTTACATAGAAGTTCCCATGCTGTATTCCTGTTGAAAACAAAACAACTGCTTCTTGAACTACCCTGTCACAAACTCATACAAGATGTTTCCACAATGTGGAATTTCAGTTATGAAATGTTAGAAAGTTATCTGGAACAACAAGCAGCAATATTTGCGACCCTAACAGTGAAAGACATCAGGAAAAATGCTGAGGCTCTAGTCACTCTGTCAGGTGAAGACATTTTCTCGGTTGAGGATGCAATACAGGTTCTGAAGCCATTGAAAACCATCACAACTATTTTCTGTAGTGAGAAGATGCCCACAGTTTCACTTGTTCTTCCACTGAAAGAGTTGATCTTACCATCAGTGACTCTATGCGAAACTGATTCAAGTCTAATCAGGTGTGTCAAACCTGCCATTGACAAAGATCGCAAAGGCCGATACCCAGATCCAGATATTAATGACTTCCTGCTGGAGGCAACCACATTAGATCCAAGGTTCCGATCCCTACCATACCATGATGAAACTGGACTTACAGTGAAAGCTGTGGCAAGTGCTTCTGCTGCATCAAAGGTAAATGAAAATTATCTTTTATACTTTAATTTGAAAATAAATTAAAATGATTAAATAAAGAAATTGTTTATTTTAATCAAGCTTATTTTAAAAGGGTTCAAACTTCAAACAGCAATTAGAATGGTTACTTTTTTGTAAGTTGTTAAAAGTTAAAAACATTCTTCTGCCATGAAGACACTGAATCACTGTGAATTTATGTTTAAGATTCAGACTGAAGTGAGAGTGAAGGAGGAGCCTGCTGAACCTGCAGTTGATGCTGAAACACAACCTCCCCTGCCAGTATTACCCTCTGTACCTGACACTGAGAGGATGGCTGAATACAGTATGACTGCTTTCGAGTCCATCAACGTGAGCCATGATGAACCAGAAAACAAGAAAATGAAGACTGCTACGGAGGAAATATTTGGGGCAGTATTTATCACTTATATTCAGGAGGCAAAGCCATTGTTGGCTTGTGTGGAAGATGAGGTCCAGAGGTACAAGGCAGCGAGTTCCTGCCACATCTGTCTCAAGTGAGAGACTTTTCTCTTCTGCAGGAGATATTGTCAGTGCTCAGAAGGCATCACTCTCTTCTGCAGGAGATACTGTCAGTGATCAGAGGGCATCACTCTCTTCTGCAGGAGATATTGTCAGTGATCAGAGGGCATCACTCTCTTCTGCAGGAGATATTGTCAGTGATCAGAGGGCATCACTCTCTTCTGGAGGGGAGATATTGTCAGTGATCAGAGGGCATCACTCTCTTCTGCAGGAGATATTGTCAGTGCTCAGAGGGCATCACTCTCTTCTGCAGGAGATAATGTCAGTGCTCGGAGGGCATCACTCTCTCCTGCAGGAGATATTGTCAGTGCTCAGAGGGCATCACACTCTTTTGCAGGAGATATTGTCAGTGCTCAGGGGGCATCACTCTCTTCTGCAGGAGATATTGTCAGTGCTCAGAGGGCATCACACTCTTTTGCAGGAGATATTGTCAGTGTTCAGGGGGCATCACTCTCTTTTGCAGGAGATATTGTCAGTGCTCAGGGGGCATCACTCTCTTTTGAGGAGATATTGTCAGTGCTCTGAGGGCATCACTCTCTTCTGCAGGAGATATTGTCAGTGCTCAGAGGGCATCACACTCTTTTGCAGGAGATATTGTCAGTGCTCAGAGGGCATCACTCTCTTCTGCAGGAGATATTGTCAGTGCTCTGAGGGCATCACTCTCTTCTGCAGGAGATATTGTCAGTGCTCAGGGGGCATCACTCTCTTCTGCAGGAGATATTGTCAGTGCTCAGAGGGCATCACTCTCTGCAGGAGTGAGTGAGTTTGGTTTTACGTCACTTTTAGCAATATTCCAGCAATATCACGGCAGGGGACACCAGAAATGGACTTCACACAATTGGTTGAAGCATCTTCTTATGTTAATTCTTTAAAATTCTTTTGGATGAGAAAGTTGTTGGATATTGGTTATGAATCCAAATGGAAGTGTTTGTGCTATGCTTCCTCCCCCAAAATGCAAATCTAGTTGTATTTGGTAATTGTTATCCAGGTACTCAAAGATATTAAGAATGAATTTTGGCTTGATTGTATTTCTGCTTTCGACAAGTTTGCTCATAAGATTCAACCATGTTCATTTGATGAATTCATCGAAGAACCAATCTATTATTACAAGCACTTAAATTTGGCAAAGAGGTAATTTTCTGTTCTGCTTGGCTTGAAAGAGGTGTTAGTCAAATTTGCGATTTTATCAATTTAGACGGAACATATCGTACTCTGAACATGTGCAAGCTTTTTGGAAATGTTTTCTAGAATTATTGAATGCTAAATGTCAACATGTTCACAACATGAAATTGGACCTGCAACTTACCGGTACTGTGTTTGGAATGAGAACAAATGTATATACTGATGATGTGTTTGATTTAATATTGTTGTTAGCTAAATTCTTCATATATAAATGTAAGGTATTAAAACTACTCTTAGTTTAAACATTTTAGACATTATTTACAAGATAGGTACTTTATTGAACAGGGGTTGAAATAACTTTAAAATTGCTAGTGTACTCCGGTACAGCGGCACATGTAAAATCACTTGCCCTGATAATTTTTCCACTATACCAGCCGTTTTCTTGTTGATTTTTAAAATAAACAACATAATTAACATTGGAAAGTCAACTAGACACAGGTATAGTGTGATATACAAATTTGCTTGCCCGACAGAAAAAAACACTGGACTCGGACATCGGGCAATGGGTTATTTCCACCCCTGTTGAAAAGAATATATCCTTCAGTAACAGTGAACAAGAACAAGTTCTATAAAAAATGGATGTTATACCATGATTTTGCAAATTTTAAATGACTTTCTGAATTCATTCTTCTTGTTGTCTAATGAAGAAAAAATATAGGCTGAATGAACTTGAACTTAAACAAACTTAATGTAATTGTTTGAAACTTGTAAGTGTGACTGGTTAGTGAATGTGTTGTGGGGTCTGGTGGTGTTGTTTTGTGCTTTGTTAGAAAAAAAAAATCCTGTTTTTCTGTTGTCAAAGTTTTCCTGCCAAAAAAAATGACTTATTGTTATGCACATTATCATTCCAAATGGCCACACCTGTGTGAAGCTGTGAGATTGAGAGAGTCACAGATAAACAGTTTGATAGGTTGCAAAGAAATGGTTTCCAATCATGAAAATTACCGCATTTTCCATTAAATGAAACATGGCGAGTATCATTTCCATAAGTTTTGCCGTACCAACAGGGCACATTGAAAATATTTCATTCATGCCATTTCAATAAATACTGTGCCATTGTATGAAAATTGAGCACTAACTCAATCCCTGAAATCCTTTTGCTCTTAAAGACCTTTTGAGACAAACCAAACATGAAGTTTGTAGACTTCAGGATTTGGACTCGTGATGTGAGGGTTAACAGCAGATTCAACCGGGTTGGTTGGTGGAGGATGGGTTTTTTACTGGTGAGCTACAGGAGGCTGGGAAGCCACAGTTGGTAAAACGTGACCAAGAGAAACAGCAGATGCTTGTACAGAGCTGCTTTGTGAACGACCTGAGGGAGGTGAACTGGGAAGGAAAAGTGAATATGCTTAGACCGCCCCAAGACACTGTGAGACCCTCCTCTTCTGCTGGATCTGGAGAAACATACACCAGCAGTTGGTGGCTGCTCACAATGGGAAACACAATGGGAAACAGATCGATGCTAGTGTTTCCAGCCAGCCAGATAGGGAGTTTGCTCTCACACTTCAGCAGCCTGTGATGTGGAGCGAGTGAGTATGGTTTTACACCGCTTTTAGCAATATTCCAGCAATATCACAGCTTTAAACAACTAGGCTACCCCAACACCCTAACTGTGATATGGAAACCACCTGTGAGATGAAAGAGGTGAAAGGTCTGGTTGAGCAGAGATGCTATCTTGGTCGAGCTCTGCATGTTGATGTTAGACCCCACAGCCAGGCGTTCCACAGAGCTGTGTGCCTATGGCGACTGTCTCTGATAACTGCTTCCATTTTTAAGTTGTTATGCATTAAGAGCATTTTTTTCCAAGGTCCAAAGGCCGGCACAGTTTCCTGGAACAAATGAGCACTCCACTCACATAGTTAAAGGCGACCCTGGATGGTAAGATCTTGTTTGCTTACTTTCTCAACCAACTCAAAGTTCTAAAAATTGCAAAAAAAGATCTGTAAGTGCCTTCTGTAGTATTTAAAGCAGGACATGGTTAATGATTAAATGTTTCATAAAAACAATATAACCAGATTCATAGATCAATCCTGAAAGAACAAAAGTACTCTTTATTTCTGTGCAAACAACTTTGGAACAATGTTTAATTGACTGAATACTGAAACTGGGCTAAAATAATCGAAGATGAAAAGCATGGGCAGCCAACTTCAAATAGGAGAATAACAGCTGTTTCCACTCTGTGGTGGGGATATTGGAGATATGAAGCACAGTGAACACTGCCATAGCAAAACAATAATCATTTATATTTGTGGGAACAAGCAAAACAACTTTGAACTCCATTTGTCCAGTGGTTTCTGATTAGAGATGTAAACAGATGCTGACATTTGATGTATGATGCCAGACAAACACAAGCTCATCTGATCTTGAATCAGGTGAGCTAAAAAGTACCCAGTATCTCTCATGCCACAATTTTTGGCTCTGCATTATTCATATGAAACAAGCTCCAAAGAATATTGGTGATATATTACTCACTGTTGCAAAGAGCTTGTCAGTTCCTTAGCATTGTATAGCACAGCATGTGGCTCCAGAGGCTTCTGCATGGTTAAGTCTCCTGAACAGTAACAAAAACATGGATGGATCATTCCATACTCAACAGGCATGTTCTTATTTTGCCTACATCCTAATTCGCCTACAGTCTTAAAACAACATTTCATGGTCTGTTGACTGTTGATTACGCAATGGTAAACTAGTGGCACCCGTATGATCTAAAAGTGAACTCTTCTAGTTGAAGAAGGTGAATGACAAAAAGAATTTATTTCTGTTATTTGTCTGTTATTTATTTCTTCTGTTATTTGTCATTTTCTGATCACAATGAAAATTATTCACATCATAACACATTAGTGTTAAGGAAGTTAACTTTTTGCAGATGTCCATTTAGGTGATAAACATACTGTGTTGGAAAATTAGAGGTTTATAACGAAATTGTAATAGCTCTAAATTTGAATTGAAAACGAAAATAGTTCAAGTGTTTTGAACATTTGTGATGTGCTTTCTTTGAATACAAATGTCACAGGGCTCCAGATAAGGTCCGTATCAGCGTATGAAAGGATATAAAATAAGCACGATACGGTAGGAAATAATTTAGAAAACGGAGCAGATACGCACCACAGCAATGGTGTACGGTATTAGAATCATTTACAGACGTATTTATCTGAAAATGTATTGTTTTATTGGTTATTGCAATGTTGTGGTGCATATATGAAACGAAACACAAGACTACTGATACTCCATTAAATCCCATTCAGTACTCTAAATGTACTCTTAAGGTTTTCCAGTACTCCTGTATTGAAAAAATAAGGAGTACGTACTCCCTGATGTTGAAAAATTATATCTGGAGCCCTGAATGTCAGTTGAAACATTTGGTAAATAAAATAAGGTGTAATGATTCTAGTTCAATTTCTATTTCCATCAGTCCAAATGACATTGCTACTTTCCGACATACACTGAGACAAAACAAAGAGAAGGCCTTAAACTGGTTGTAAACAATCTTCATTCACATGTCATATGCATTTAGATAAACAATTTCCAAACTGTTAGATGTTTTAATAAACCAATTATGATTTTATGAAATACAAGGAATTATGCAATATTTGTTACCTACAAGTACATTTTTTTTTTCTTCCACCCAAACTTTAGTTTTTGATTGCATTTTCCAATTTATTTGTACTTACCGAAAGTTCCACCCGTTGTCTCCCGTGCTGTCTCACTTATACCAAACAAAGGTACCAAATTGGTTCTATTTTTGTAAAGCTTGAGGTTATAAAACATGAAAGAAACCATGATATGGCTTCAGACTTTCTACAGTCATTAACATATTGTGCATGCAGAACAACAGTGAATTTAGATGTTAGGCAACATACAATCCATCTAACGACAGGCTAACAAGGTATGATGTTGGTATTTGTAGGCAATTCAGAAAATGAGCACTGATCCACCAACTTGTCACTTTTAGAGATTAGTGATGGCAACTGATTTTCATAAGAGGCAAATATGTTGTCTTTACATTGGTAAAAAGAATTACAAAGTGCAAGCAATTCTGTTTTGGACACCTTATACCTAGCTGTGTACACTTTTCGTTGGAATCGACCACATATCCTTTTAACAACAGTCTATCAAGATGTAGTATGGCACTGACCAGTGAGTCAGGTTCATTATAAGAGTAGGGGTGCAATTTCTAATCCGAATTAGCCTACATTATTTTTGTATGCGAAATGGGATGTAGGCAAATTGAGATGTAGGCGAATAGAGACTAAACCACTCAACATAGCAGACAGAACAAGTAAACTTAATGCATTTACTGCTTTCCTTTGACAAGACAAAGCTGTGAGATGGAAACGTTGAAGAGAAGTTGTTACAACTGAGCAAGCCGCCGTATTGCCATTGCATTGCGCCCACGCAACCCGGAAAGTGCTGACGTCACATATCTTCACATTACTGCTGGATCGTAACATCTGAAGAAACATCGTGGGGAGGTAGCGATGCGATGGACGGGCGACTTAGACTGAGTAATGCAGGATAAGTATACAAATATTTTTACCTTATTAGTCCTTAATGCATCTGCATCCAACGGTATGGAGGCGGCAAACCTTCAGATGTGATACTCTTGAGAAAACTAAACCTCCCACATCGCCAGATATAAGCCGTCAGCAGTCGTGGCCAATGATCGGTAATCCCATAGACCATTCCTGACAGGATAAGCTAAAATCTGAAACTGATCTACCGAGCGAATGCAAACAGCATGTAACCTGCTCGTCTGGGGTGATGTATACTAAAACAGTTGCAAGGCTTGCTCTTGACTGCCATGGAGTTCATGGCGTTTGGGATTGGTGACCTGTTGTGCAACTACCAGGGGACCAAAACTGTGTACACCCTCAACATCTTCTAGCGCCACATCCCTCAAGTAGTGACTGGCAAAGACTGTATCAGACTTCCAAAAGCATCCTTCCATGATGGATCTAATGGAACAATTACTGTGGAGGGCCATCGTGGAGGCTACCGCTCTTATCTCATGAGGGTTGTTTGCCCGAGGAAGGTCCAAGTTGGCAGCTTCATAAGCCTGGAGGATGGTGGCTCGCAACCCTAATGCCAAAGTGTTACAGCTAACTTCTGTCTTCGATGTCTTGGAGATGGGAAAGAAGAGCCGTTTTCTTAAACCACGATGAGCCCTTGACCGACAGAGAAAACACTGATGTGCGTGGACTGGGCATAAAAGAAGTTCTGGGTTGTCTTCAGATCCCACAATCGAAGAGCGATTTTTTGCTATGAAGTCCCAGCAGTCCCAGGTGGACGGCTCCATGTGGGGTACGTTCAAAACGAACATGGGCGACGCCACCTACCCAGCAGGCATATGCCTGGCATATCCCTGTAATGGCTGCAGTCGTATACCGATATCACAGACGACAGTTCTACAGAAACCGTATATTTAGAGAAAGGTCAAACCTTTTAGAAATATACGACGACCTTGATCTGTACAGAAGATTTAGATTCAGGAGAATTGACATTTTGAAGATAGTGTCTACAATCAGAGGTGATATTGATTATGGCTCGTACCGCAATTCCACCATTACCCCAGAAATGCAGGTATTGTAGCCTTACGGTTTTGTTTCAAAACGTAGTTGGGGATACAGCCAAAGTTCATCAATCTACGGTTAGTCGAACAACGTCTTGCTTACGCCAATTAGTTACTTTATTTAAAAGTTTGGAGCTGAGAAGATGCTTATAATCTCCATACATCTCCAAAAGACATATTATTTCTCCATCGGTAAAGTTGGGTTTTCTCGGTCTTCTTTGGCTTTCCATGATTGCGGCTGAAACAAATGTGCCGCGAAGTTGTTTCTCGCATTTTCCAGTGGTTTAAAAACGTTCGAAAATCTAAAAATAGCACACTGCATGAATCCATTAAGTCGCGCGTAGTAACGCCTAGGCTTAGACGAAGTTGTTCATGAGGTGTAAGAGCAGGGCGCTGTTAAGCCCGACATAGTGGGTCAGGCCTGACGTTAGCTACGCCCGACATGTGCATACGACAAAGCTTGCAATTCCAGAATCTTGGTCATCTTCCTGTCCTCTGGAATGGCTAACACCGAGTTCAGAGCTACCAAATATGTTGTAATGGTACTACCCTTAAGGTGCCGGTGATTAATGAAGAAACAGAAGAAATTCAGCCAAGAATTGAGGTGATGCAGTAACAGGATCATGGTGTTTGTCCTTGCAAAAACTCTCAAAGGGTCTCCATTTATCATTCTATAAACCTCGAGTAGAGGCAGAGCTACAGATAACTTTTGGGGTCATTGAGTTATGTACTCCCTTGTGTTCATTTCAATTTGGTATCAAATTTTCCTTTGAGTAACTAAATAAATTGTACTCACCTCACTCAAACACAACTGGATATTTTACAATTGTCCATTCATTGTAAAAATAATGTAATTTTTAGAGTAAAATTGATATTTTATACTTATCCTGACTCATGCTCTTTTGCTTGTCTTCTTCTTCTTGCGAACATAGTGGAACACTTGTATCTCCTTATTTGAAGCTCCCTTCAAAATAAAATCACTAATTGGTACTCACCACGAGTTGCTCCCCTTTGTTTCCCCTGGCGGGGAAAGGTGTCGCCACCCTCTGGCCATGTGCTCCACTCTCTCCTGATTTAGCGAGCCCAACACTTGAATTTACAGGGAAATCCAAAGTGTTATGTGGGGAGGATGGGAGGGCTAACCTCATGAGTCAGGATAAGTATAAAATATCAATTTTACTCTAAAAATTACATATTTTTCCTTATCCTGACTCATGCTCTTTTGCTTGTAGCATCCTACGGAACGGAGGTGGGTAACAGAATACTTTGGATTTATAATTAGTGATTTTGTATAGATATACTGTAATATCCCCTACGGGAACTTCATGAAGGCTTAGATTTAGGATGTTTCCTGTATAAAGAAAACCATAGGTTATATAAAGCCATTAAAGGGGAATTACATTATGAATATATTGAACAATACATATAAATTATATATATATATATAGGTGACTCTGATAGAGGCACTGAACTTGACTATACCAAAGTATATGCTTAAGGTTGAATACTTAAGCTGAACATATATACATAGCCCTAAAACTCCGTAGAGTTATAAGCTAGATGAGTATGTATAAAATACATATTAATCTTGTGAGGATAATATTTTAACGCCTACGAGGGACTGTCAGTTGCTGGCGAGGACCAGTGGTCGAAATGGTGAATGCCAGAGACATCTTCTGTAGTGATGTCTCTCAGGTAGTGATTAGCAAATACCATGTTAGATTTCCAATAGCATCCTTCCATAATCGTGTTCAAGGAACAGTTACCGTGTAGGGCGAGGGTAGAGGCCAGTGCCCTGATCTCATGTGGATTTGATGCTGTTGGTGGGTCCAAGCCTGCTGCCTTGTAGGCACGGAGAATGACAGTCCTTATCCAAATAGATATTGTGGTCCGTGACACTTCTGTTTGATTAAGTAGGCGATAAGGGGATGAATAAGCGTTTGAGAAATCTTCTCCTTGTTTTGGATCGTCAGTAAATAAAC